ATGGTCAGCCTTAAGCCAGTTGTTTATGTCTCAAGGAGAATGCTACCAGATTATGTACCTGCTCTTTGCTATCAGGATGCTCCATGGAAAGCATTAACTCTGTCCTGAAATTAGGGGCAGTTGGACAGCAGGAAAGCAATGGATTAGCTGGAGAGCAATGTACTTCAGCCAAAAGAAGCAAGCAGAATGCTGTCTATTTTCAACCTCTCATACAGAAATCGGACCAAAAAAGAAGAGCAAACAGACCAAAACGAGGAATATATTTGACTTTTTTTCTTTAAAACAAGAACAGGATCCCATCTTCAACCAGAGTCTTACCATACTGCTGCCAAGGCATACTTTTTCTTCCTCAGTGAGATAACTTGTATTCCAATAGGTGGAGTGAATGATGTATATAAGCTTTAAGCGATGCTGTATTAGGGAATTTTGTCTTTGCACTTTAGACCAGTGCAATGAAAAGTTAAATATTAATATGTCCTCAGAACTTTTCTCAAATATTTGTAATCTGAGACTGTTAATTTAAGAGGCAGTGAACAGAGGTAAAGTTTTTACATTCAGCTTTTGTTATCTTGCCGGTAATTAGAATAGTCCAAGCAATGTAAATTAAATGTGACCAAGTAGGGAAGCTAGATAGCAGTTGGGGAACTTTTATTATATGGAAGTCTCGGAAATTGGAATCTGACATTTACAAGATTGTAGGATGGTAGTGATAGAGCTGGCTGCTAAATGCGTGCGCCTAACATTTGAAATGTCACTTGTTTGTCTCTGTAAGTCCAGTGGAAGAAGTGGCAATTATTTTGTGTGTTTCTTCCAGCCGTCTCCTCTGTGACTTGAACCCACACAGGTTTGTGAGAAGGTGAACTTTATGATTTTAAATCTCCAAAAATCTTGGGTCCCATTCCCCACTCCCCCCACTTCCTTTTCGCTGTTGTCTAGGTAGTCCCAGTGTTTGACATACCTTTTTAGACCAGCACTCTCCCAATAGAAGTGCTACCATGTCCCCTCTCTCAGTTTCTCTGCAACTTCTCATAGAGAGAGGCAGAAATTGCATTGATGTGGCTTCTTATTTTTGGTATTTTCTCCAGAGGTCTCCCATTCTGGGACAGGGTCTTTGTAGGTTACCAGATGCATTATAAATGCTTTCTGCCGAGTAGAGGTGACAACTTAAACCTGGTTCACATGTTAATAATCGTCGGTTTCTGAAATGTCACGCCAAAAAATGAAGGATTTATACCACACCTTCCTGCATGTCCCCCTTCCCCACCTATGCCCATTATTCTAAGCTAGATGCAACCTGGAGGTGACATGTCCTATTGTAGGTGCCAAGATCTTGCAGGTGCTTTGCCACATGCGTGTACTCTGTCACTTGTAACCCTACCCCTGCCATCATGGGCTTAGCACCTGGAGGACCTGGGGAGGAAACATTTGTAAACACATTCCATGGCAGGAAGTTCAAAGGATACCTTGTTTGGTGGCAAAACCTTTGGACTTTTTTTCTGAACAGACACTAGAAGAAGGTTTGACTGAGGAGTGCTGTGTGGTTGTGTTCAGTGCACTGTAATTCACAGGTCAAATTCCTACTCTTGGTACTGGTGGGTCTAAATGGAATTTTCTGGAAGTTGTACTTGGATGCTTCTGTTCTGAGATGATTTAAAGCCTACACATTGTAGTTTCCTTCTCTGTGCATATATACACAGCTGATTATTGTGTTTGTAAGCAAGGACATTTATCTTTCTCTTTTGAGAAATTGAAATTTGGTGCCTAGATAACATCCTCTCCAAAATTCCTATTAGATTAATAACTAGTGATTCCACAGATTTTAGCAAGATGGGCCAAGATTGCATTTTGGAGAAATCATTCCTAGGGATGGAAGAACAGTCATGTTCTTACAGCTCTTGTATTTCAGTAACAAACTAGCAGTTCATCCAGTTACTCACGGGCTAAGTTCAGGGGATTCACGTTTTTGCTGCACTTACAGTAGTAGTACTAGTCTTGAATCATTAAAGGCATCTAATGCTGCTAATCTTAAAGTCTTTTACAACCCAAAGAATTCTAAGATTCTTTGTCAGCTGCTTCACACGTGATCTTTTGATCAGTTCTTGGAGCCATGCACATGCAATACTTATCATTAGATTATAATTAACTGTAATTATGTATGCAGATCAGCCCAAGCCATAAAATGTAGATTTAGATATTTACTATGCTAATAAGAAGATTTGATGAGGATAAAGGGCTTGATTTTTAAAATTTTCACTACCACAATAGTGTGACGGATTCTTAGCGAACGTATTGTTAAAATTAGTATAGCTGAGGTTATCATCCATGTTAGTTTTCTTACTGCAGATTGCTGTGGATGAAATTCAGGCCCAAAATGTTGTGTCATTTGCATGACAAAGCACTGCCTCAGAGAAGCTGAGATGGTAGAAAACAGGTTGCAGGAGCTCTGACAGGTGAGTTTGTCCTCAGACATGCCAGCAAGGCTGAACTATATGAAAACATTCCATACAGTTATTCACCTAAGGACAATTCTACAAACAGTGCAAGTGGGATTTTTGCTGGGGAAAGGGGATTATGCACCTTTATTTTGATGCTGTCGTTAAATTCCAGGCACAAGTATTTTCCAGGTGTGCACAGAGGTGCTGTGTACAGCTGCATCAAGGCATGATGTTCCTGACAGCAGTAAACAGGGAAACAAGTGCTGTGTTGCTATGCTAACCCTGCATTCTGCTTCTGAAGGCTTAATGAAAAAAACCAAACCAATTAAATAATATTGGGTTTGATAAAATAGATTGAATCGCCTCCATGACTAAGGCTCTACACTAGCATTTAGCTTTTGCTGGGGGAACAGTTGCTTTTCTTATTGTTGTCTGTTTACATCTGGAAACAAATCTTACATGTTGTGTAAATAATTTAATCTTTATTGCTGTTACTGCTGCATATAAAGTATTTCTGTGTTCATACCTGCTAGCTAAGTGAAACAGGAAGGGATACATTTACGCACATTACTGTTTACTCTATTTAATGGAAATGAAAAGTGAAATAATAAATTAGGGAATGCCACACTAGAATCATTATTCTTCTTCATTTTGAAACAAAGCATCAGTGTTGCAGGATCTTAGTTAATCACAGTCTGGATACACTGAAACGTTCCCCTTTCCCTTTCTCCCTGCAGTGGTGTTTTAAATGGAAACTGTGTGATCTGCTGTTGAGTGGAAGGCTTCATTTTGGAAAGATTGCTTTAACGAGGAGGGGGCTATAAAATGATTTTGAAAACATCTCTGGACACAATTCCTGGTACAAGAGCGTGGAGGGGGATGACAGATGGGATTGAGATGGACAGGAGCTCTGTAGTTAGAATGGCAGCTGGATGTCTCACATCCTCACTTCAGTGTTTTCTTCCTAGAACCACTTCCGGGCTTTGGAAGCTGACATTAGTCTTGTGAAATATTTTTAAAGTTTTAACTTTTTAAAGCACTTTTAAAAGGGCACATTATCACAAAAATGGAGGAATTGCAATACTTGTCAGCAATGCTCAGAATTTAATCAGGTGTTTAAATGTGTCAATTAAAATTATAGCCCTTGTAACATTACTGTCCTAATAAAAACATTTAGCCAGTTTGTTTACTAAGTATGTATGTCCAAATCCTGCCACAAGACCCATGGCATCTGTCTGCTTAGGGAAAAAGCAACCCAGCATGTTTTTAGATAATTACTTTCTTTTGAAAAATAGGTATGAAGTGAGTGAAGGAATCAATTACGTTTCCAGATTGGACTGTATGCAGTTTTCTGTGGTTTATACTACTTGATGTATCAATTATGATTACATATTAGCCCTCAGTATTAAAACATGACTGGGCTGTATTCTCTGACTTGGCTTGAAGCCCACTACATCATGACTGCAAGTGGTGCAGCTCATTGCTCTGAGACACTTCAATAGTTTCTGTTTACAAAGCATGGCAAGAGGTGGTAAAAGCATGCGTGACTCTGCTTAACATGATGCTCCCAGCAGGAACATCTCTTTTTTCCCTTTTTTTTTTTTCGTTATGTCATAATTAAACCTTGATGAGACAAACCTCCCCTCGGTGCAATGCCTGATGTCTGACAGCTTGATGCTCCTTCTGTAGTTCTCAGGGCAAGCTGGGTGCTGAAGTGTTAGCAGAGGATCATGTGGGCCACAAGAGATTAGAAGCACAGGCATGCTCTTGTTTTCCTCCTGACTGTAGGAGGTGGTTGGAGCCAAATGGCTTCCTATGCAGAGTTTTATGGCCACAGAGGTCTAACTTGAAGCTGATGATCTCTGTACCTGCTGGGGCTCAGATCAACATCTCTCCTGAAAAATGTTTTGTCATCCGAAATGCTCCTTTATCAGACCTTTGTCAAAGCCTTTGGTTTGAAAACCTGCTGATCTCCAGTGGGGATAACAGAGCGTATCTTGGCTCACAGATCAGTCAAATTTCCAGTTGAAATATACAGAGTAAAATAGTTTGGGGAAAGGAGTGCAGCAATGATTGACTGTATGTATGTTTTGTATTGATGAGTATCTGTTCTAGGAGAAACTGAAGAATTAGGCCAGAAGCTTTAAAATCAATGTCTTATTATTAGGCTCCTGTGTACATCTGTACTGAGGCTGAGAGAGGCTCAAACATTGCCTCTCAGAGATAGGAATCCATCTGACTCCTCCTTGATGGTCAGAGAAGCAGGTACCTAGCACTGCTGAAAATTGTGTTGTTTTGGTCCCTATGCTTGAATTTTTGTGGACTCAAGCTGGGAGTTGTTGCATAACAGCTTTTACAAGAGAGCTTTTATATTTACTAACTTCCACAATAGATAAAGGATTTAGCTCTTGGACAATTTCTAGGGAAAGTAAAATTAGGAGTTAAGGGACAACACTGTCTGGAATCCCATGATCTGTCAGAAAATCTTTTCTTACTGTAGGTGTTGCAATTGATTACTGCTAACCAGTGTTGCTAACCTGTATTAATTTCAATTTCCCCTTGCAGTAATGCGAAGAAATCCATTTGGGATGGACATTTGCTGTCGGAAAGGATCCAGAAGCCCACTCCAGGAACTATATAATCCAACCCAGGTGAGTGTCTCATGGCTATGATCAAGCTTCTCAGCCCAGCATACAAATACAGTCTCTTCTGAAGATATTTTGGTCTGCTTTTTTCTCATTTACATGCAATAGCTGCTTTCAATATGGAGAGCTGATCCTGGGAACTGCAGAGATGAGCCATAAAGTTATACAGTTTGAGCTAAGGGCCTGATTTTTAAAAGTGTTTAGTCATCTAATGATTTGGATTCCTCCAAAATTTTTTCTCAGTTACCCGAAAGCCTTAAAAGATCTAGCTAGAAGCAGAGGTGTCGTATTGACACATTGTGGCAGGGTGGACTAAACGTGTCATGATCTACGTGAAACAAGGAGTGTGGTGAGACTATAGATTGCATAATAATATGTGAATATCATTTAAATGACTTTCAGGTAGCCAGCTGCCTTTCCTGTTCTGGTTCATTGCTTGTATGGAGTCTAGACAAACACTGTAGCTCATGCTCTTCCTGACACTGTGCTATTCAACACCTGACTGTCTTGATGGGAGCTTAGAATTGTTATTGCTTAGAGTTATTGCTCATCTTGTGACAAGCAGAATAGGAAAGCTACCTGAAACTCGTGCTCCTGTTTGCTCCTCTAGATCAATTTATTTGCTACATGTGGGCTGAATTGGCACATTCAGGAGCAGCATTTCCTGTTGGCAGCCAAGAGGAAGTGCTGCCATTGAGAGAAAATGCCAGCTGACTATTAAACATATTTATTAAAGTTTAACAACCGCCTATTATATATTTATCCATCAATGAATACATTGAGTTTTACTAAATTGGCTATTAAAGCAAGTGACTATCCCAGTAAATCTAACTTGTTAGATTTAACAAGGCAGTAAATGTTTTAAATACTATTTGATTATGAAGAGACTCACTATATAGTGTGAAAAAGGGATTTAGAATATTTACATAAAGAATTGACAGCACTCCAAAGATATGTGATATCTGTTATGTAGCACAGTAAAGCTCCATTTGCTCATTAGTGTTGTTTTTATGAACACAGACTGACTTTCAATTCAAATTCTGTGCATGACTGAGAACATAAGTTTGTCATACTAATATAATGGCCTTTATTGACCATTATGGGAGTTAGCATTGCGTAAATGGAAAGTGCATGTAAAAGCCCTGAAGAGGAACAATCCAGTGCTACAAAGGAAAATTATTAGCATTTGCAGGTCAAATTTAAAGAGTCTTTGCAGATGCTCAAGAAGAGCGGGTAGGGGAAAAGAGACTGTCTGAGTAATTAGTCTCTCTGGGGTCTGCTGTGTGTCAGTCAAAACCTCCTTGCCCTTTAACATCATTAAAGGCCAAACCATAAGAAAGAAACATCCCCATCCACTGAAGGGTTGTAATCCCAGGGCCCTTGCAAGCTTGGACAACTGAAAAGGTATCTTTAGCTTCCTGAAGCAGGGAACACAGCTGGCAGCTCCTTCACTGGTTCTCCTTCCTTTCTATGTGCATTGACCAAGCAAACCATTAACATTCCTTTCCAGGCTTGCCTGCAAGCCAACCAGAAAGTCAATGTTCAAGGGAGCACAGCAGTTCTTGTAGCTGATGTTGAACTAAGGAGATGACTTTTTTTATGCAGAAGTGTTTTCATCATCTGCTGACATCTGTTTTTATCAAGCTTTTAATTTTTGTTTCTTTCTCTGTTCTTAATTGGTATTTGGTTTTTTTGGAAGGGGCTTTGCATGCTGCATTCAGTACTAAAGAGACTGGCAGTGGCAGATGAACGAGTGCCTGCAAGCTAGGAAAACAGTAACAAGAAAATGCAGTGAGTAGAGGCTGCCAGACAAGACAACAGACTGGGGATGACCCCTAGAATATTTCATCAAATACATGGTTCATCTTTCTTTTTCCATTTTGCCCAAAGAGATGTCTGTCTCACCTTTCTTAGGGTGGCAGATTAGAGACTGGTCTGTATTCTGGCAGTAGGGTGCTTGTTCCTCAAGAATTCACCAGGATTTGTAAGAGTGGGGGGATGGAAATCAGATCTCTAATCTTTCGTTGCTGAAACAGTCACAATCAACCATTTGTAAAGTCAGCTCAGAAGTCAATATATAATAAATACACAAGATGGCAGGGCCAGGTTGAGACTTTCAGCAACCAGGTCTAGTGGAGGGTGTCCTTGCTCATGGCAGTTGGAACTAGATGATCTTTAAGGTCCCTTCCAACCCAAATCATTCTTTGAAGACATTTTTGGCCAAAATATCTCTCTTAGTGGTCTAGACAGTGAAAACACTAGTTAGATATTTAACCTTTGACTATCAGAACCTGTTGGACTCCTGGTGTTGTGAATCCGTGTTTCTCTCCTGGGTGCTAATGGCTGTGTGTGCCATCACAGAAACTCCCTGGCACTCCGTTTTGCTCCCTCAGAACAACAGCAGAGCTGATCGAGCAGATATTTGTAGTTCTCTTTATAGTGCAAAGTAATATGTGAAATTCAAACAGCAGACATAGGCCACTGAAAGATGCCCTGAAGATATGGTTTTGGATTACTACAAGCTAGGTGTAGCTGTGATTTTTTAAGGGTAGGAAACTTTAAATGTGAGATGTTATTAAGGGCCCATACCGCCCAGCATACAGTGTGCTCCGGGCTGTTCCCTGTCTGGGGAGATGATAGTTTGGCCATCGATTGAAATAGGTGTCAGATAGGGTCGATACTCCCTGAGGTTTAAAATGCTGTAGTTTAACATGAATAAAGTTTTTCTACTGTGTGTTTAACATCAAGTTGCACTGGCTTATAATACCAGATGGAGACAGGTTGATTTACACCAGCTGAGAATTTGACTGTGAATATTTACTGTGTTGACATATAACAGCCTCTCTGATCCTGGCCTGTTTTGTTTCCTTCTATGGAGTTGTTTGAGTTGTTTGCAGATGCCATCATTTGTCTCTTGAATCTCTTTTTGACCTGCTGAATGATCGTGTAAAGGAAAGAGAAAGGAAGAAGGAAGAGAAGATAAGGAAAAGCAAAAAAACCAAACCCAACCCAACCAACCAAAAAAAACCCCCCCAAACCAAAACAACAAACCAAACAAAAAAAACCAGGAAGATTTGGCTTAAGGAAAATCCCATGTAGCAGTGATCTGAAGGTGACTGAAAGGGTGGTCTGATGGCTTGTAGGAGCTGAATGCTAGAATTGCAGTCAGATTTTCAGAGGACTCATCATAATTGTTCATATGTTTGATGGAGCAAGAGAGGACAAACAGGTGGAGATAGCACTTGAATTATGGCTTGAGAAAGTGTCCATGACAAAGCCCATGAGGTACTTATGTCTGAGTTGGGTGTCTGGCCTTGTGATTATTGTAAAAGTAGGAACAACAGGTTTGCTCTTTTGCCTGTTGTAAAGGAGCGGAATGTGGGAAGTGCATTTGTTGTGGACAAAAGATTTCTTCTCTAGGGCTTTCACTGCAAGATTTTTCATGAGCACTAATGTACCATGCGGAAAAGACAAGTCAATATAACCAAACTGGACTTACACTGAGTAAGTGGTTTTCCAGGCTGGGGTCTCCACATACATGACAGGCAATGTGCAGCATGTATGGGACATTATCTTTCGTTTTCCTTTAATTTTCAGGTGGAGGTTTACTAATAAGCTTCAGAGGTGCCAGTGGCAAATTTTGAGGGCCAAAATGGACCATTTATTTAATGAGTTTATAAAAAAGCCACATAATTATAAACAGAAGGAGAAAGAGGATTCAAACACTCAACAAGTAGCAAAGGAGAGGATCTAGATGTAACTGAATACAGATGAAGAGCCCTGCAGGAATGTGACATAAGCTTGCATTTTGTGTTAGGTGGATTTGGTGGGGTTTTTTGTATATGAAATCCCAGGCATTTAAGAATGTGGGTAAACAAATACTTGCAAGACATATTCTTAGAAGACAACATATACAACTGTGTCTTGTAATTTGCATGGCTGTGTACAGCCCCACTGCTCCAAAAATAACTGATAATTGTGGATCAGCCCATGAGCTGGAGTCACCAGAAGTTCAGAATTGGGTAACATTATGCACACTTTAGTGGTTAACATTGATCTATTTGCTGCAATGAATGTGCTACTGAATTACAAGAAGTTGCAAACCAAAATAGATCAAATGTTAAAGGAATGGGAAATAATTGCATCCTTGAGGTTAGATTTTGTCTTACAGTTGTCAAGACTAACATTTGATTCTCATTAAATAGAAGCAGCATAATTGTTTGGTCTAACAGTTTAGACTTCTGAGAGGAACACAGAAGAGATACAGTCCTGTATCCGTCAGGATTCTAATTTGACATTGCCTAACATTAATTCATGAATCCATGTGACTATTTTCCTAAAGGTCATGCTATTGACCATTTTTTACTTGCCTTTTCCAACACATTTCTCCTTGTTGAGAAGAAGTATGCTTTTGGTGTAGCTGGAGCCAGAATGTCTAGTGATTTGCTAAAACTGGTGAGTTAGAGCTGTCAACCTTGTGTTGCCTATGTGTTATGACATTGTATTGGACTGGTTTGGAGTAGTCATTCCAAAATGACCCACTTCTTTTATTACTTCTGCTTTTTCTTTTTCTCTCCTCCTTCCCACCAAGTAAAAGGAAGGAAGTGAACTGTTGCCTTGCAGGCAGTGTTTATACATCCTCAGTCACCTCAGACCACAAATGCTGCTTTTGGGGAGCTGCCCTGTGATTATCTGTGGCTTAGATTGCTTGGATGGCATCAGCAAACATCAACCTAGTTCAGCCCGCATTGCTCAACTTTCACCTGGGTCAGTAGTTTCCTATCTTCCTTTGATTTCCACTCACTGGAGTGACTCTGTGGGCAGCTGCACTGGATCCTGGACAGAGGTTTGTGGTGGGCTTTGTGATCTGAGCTCTGTGTACACATCATCCACAGCACATTGGATCAAAGGTTCCGATGCTTAAGACCTGGTATTTCTGTCCTTGGTGAACATGAGGTGCTGAGCTTTGTGCAGTTTGTTTCAGTGTGCTTCGGCTTCTCATTCTC